AATCCCTGTATTTATAAATTATTATATGACAAATAAACATACCAAAACAAATAGAAACATAGACCTTATTTGTAAGCTTTGTGCTCTGTACTATTGCAATATATATATATATATATTTTTAATCTTTTATTATATATCTTAAAAATATATAAAATATTAATATAAAAAATTAATTAAGAATTACAAATTTAGATTTTTTAAATAAAGTTCCATGTTAAAAAAGTCTTTACGAAATTCAGAAAGGAAGAAATGAAACAATTTTTAGGTTTACATAGCAAACTTCGACATGTATTTAATACAGATCGATTAGTTCGCATAATTCTTTTGCAATCTTAAAGAGGGGTCAAGTCAAGGATGATAAAGAAATCCAACTCACATATGTATTTAGTTGGCGAATGAAGCTGGAGAAGTTGTTGTGCTTGAAATATCTAGGTAAGGTGAGATCCGAGAACTCGGCCGGAGACCATACCACAAACCCTGTACCTTCTGCATTCCACGAAACAATTTTCTTGCCATCGCCGGCGGCTGATCCTTGGCCTTCCTCAACCAAGGCATACGTCTTTGCCAGGAACGGAGCGGGGCCTCTTGCCTTCATCGCAGACTCGTTGGACTTCTTAGTCTCCATAAAAATATTTCTTCCCATGATTTTTAGTTTTCCACCGAAATAAACCCTTTTTCTTCTTTGGCAGCAGCCTAAATATTTATACCATCAGTCAAGGAAACTACTAGGTACCGTGGAAGGTGGATTGATGTGTATTTTACATCTTTTTCCTCTCTTTCTCTGTGTGAACATGTGCACTTTTTCCATGCCGAATGTAAAAATGACTACTTGATTTTGATTTATCAGCGAAAAGATAACCAGTCAATTAGTCATGTAGATTAATAGTATAATTATTTGTATTTTTAATTATAAGTTAAAATTTAATTTTTAATCACTACATATAAAAAATATATATAATTCAATAATAATTTTTTTATATTATCTTTTAATAAAATTTTATTAATTTTTTTTATTTAAGAGTTATAATATTAAATTTATTTATTTATTTAATAATATATAAAAACTATATTAAAAAAATTATTTCTATATCATTTTCTTAAGCACGAGATGTAGAAATAAGAATAGGTGATATATATAAAGGCATTTGGAATGGACTAGATAGTCTACAACTGGCCAGTAAACAAACATGAAAAAGACCTTGTGTTTAGGTAAACATATTGTAGACTGAAAAGAAACACAAATTGTATAAGTAAACAAACATGAAAAGAAACACAAAAATGAAGATTGGTCAACATATATAAACAAAAGAGAACGCTTCTTAGGTCATCGTGAAAACTTAGCCATTAATTTTGAGGGAAGAAGACCTTGTGTTTAGGAGGATTTTTTTTTTTTGATCGGTAGTTGTAATTACATAATATTATTAAGTTAGACTATGTAATACTATTTTATAAACAAAATTAATAACATTTGGTATGTTAGTTTTTCTCTTCTTTTAATAAGCTAAGTATATCAACCATTGACCCAATTAGTCATCTTACAGATAGTTAACTGCAAATAATCATGTTCTTACAGAGATAACTACAAAAAAACCCAGTTGGCATAACTTAATAAAATTGAATAAAACTTCACTGAACGTAGGCATAATTAACTTAATAAAATTGTTTTTTTACTAAAATATTGATGAGAAGATTAAAGTTCTGTTTCCAGTATGCATGTTTCCTTTACTACTTAATGAAAGGATCTTCAATAATTCTTACTGGTCTTTTTTTTCTTTTTCTGGTTTCAATGGTAAGAATGTTCTTAGACTAACTTTTATATATTTCAAAATTAATTTTTTTAAAATAATTTTAAAAGTATACTCTTATATAAACTTAATGTGTTTAAGAAAATTAATTTTTTTTATGATGATAACAAAACATGAACTCTAAACTTAAATTCAATTTATAAAACAATACTTATTTATCAATAAATTTAACTCTTGAATATGGTAATCTTCGGAAGCCTTTGGCAATCTCTATCTATAACGTCATGATTGAATTATTCTTCTTTAACTATTTATTTTCATATGTTATAATCATAATCATATTTTCCATTATTCATTTTATCCCTTTCTTTTTGTGCATTGGAAAATCAATCTTTTCTTTTTATGGGTGAAATAAAAAATCAAAAGAATGTTGCTTTTGTTTGTATTTAAAAATCATAGGTTAGCAATATGGGCATGGCTATTGTCACGCACAAAATATTATGGCTATATAAACTTTTTAATACTATCTTTTAAAAGTATTAGATCTTTTTTATTTAATTTCATAGTTGTTAATTAGTAATTAATATTTATTAATTAACATATTAAAATTAATTTATAAGTTGATTTTATTATATGTAGAGACTAAAAATTAAATTTAGATATATGGTTAAAGTACAAATAATTTTAGCATTAACTTTATATTTAGATTGAAAGGAAGGGAAAAGAGGGGAAGAGATGGGAAGGGAATTATAATCTTCCATTCC